TTTCCGCCTACAGCTTTTTCTCTTGTCCAGGTGGTGTTTAAGCAACAGGGATTTTCTTGCAATGCAAAATGTGGTTTGCCTGGTGCCTCCCTTAGCCCACCTGCTTATGTAGGGCATAATCTCCCACAAGTTCACCTGTTATCTAATCGTCCTCTGTGTCTTGCCAAAATAGTTTTGTTTTATGACAACCCTCAATCCCCTTATTAATCCCCTAGCTTAATCTTGAGACATAAGAAACTAACATATAGGTTGGTTTATAATGTACCATAATTTACAGTCTCACCCACACCCCACGCCTTCATTCATAACAGTCTATACAAACTTATTCTCCTTATAAATAATGTACATTCTAAGCCTTTCCTGTGACTGAGGAGATTGTGTATGATCCTGTAGATAAGCATTTAAGTCAAAACAAACGATTTCTACAGGATATCCCAGCAGGATGTTAAAGTATGGAATACAATACCATACCGAATATATTTGGATTACAGAGAGTTTGCTGTCTCCCCAAGATAAAACAAGGGGGCACAATCCAGGAAGTTCCCTATTGCAAAGTACACCAAAACGAGGCAGGACTGTGAAAGGGGAATCTTATATCAACTAGACGATTATTAGACTTTATCTGGAGAAAATCTTTCAAACATTTATTTTAATTTAGAGCTAAATTTAATTCACCAACAGAATCAAAAAGAAATTGTGTTAATTTTCCCAAGGTAAACACAAAGTCTGTCTACAAGCACTTACCTTAAAAATTAGAGAGCTTAAGGTTATCCTGGAAAATAGTTTTTGCTTTATGGCTTTCAGAAAAGAGAAAAACCAGGGAAGAGCACAGTCTATTGATGAAGAATTTTTTCCAAATTTCAGAATGGCAGCAGGGAAACGTTACTAAGTTGGGCATGAGAAAGGAAAATTGCTCTCAATCATACCCTTTCGTATTTGTTAGTGGAATGACAACATTGACATATATGCAATACATAAAAACATTTACGATTTTTATCTTCCCCAGTTTGAGTCAGAATTAAGAACTAAGGAGTCATTAGGATCATCCCACAAGAGCCTCAGTGCATTGTTCAGCTTTCAGAAAACTCAAGTAAGTTGCCAGCAGAGATTTCACACTGCCATTCTACAAAATCTCTTCGTGCATCCATATAAGAGATCATTCAGGAAATAACTGTCCCAAGAATTGTGTTCATTCAAGGACACCAAGAGTAAAAAAAACATGAGTAAAAGTATGCTAAATCGCAAGATAGAAACATAGCCCCAGATGTGCTTGATTCTTTTCAAATATTTCCATGATGTAGAAAGCAGTGATATTTCAAGGTAATGCCCAAGAGAAACAAATCTGTCAGTGAGTTGGGGAACAAATGTTGATTGTAATGTCTCTCCTGAAATTAGATTCTGACTCATCAGGATTTATAGGCAGTTTGTATCTTAAGATTATCCTATTATTAATATAACTGTTATCTACAAAACGAGTCATGTATTTTATTATGGTGCAACATTCCTAGATTTGCACACTGACCACTCATATATTAACAGAGATACACCCACATGTGCATCCTTGGTCTTCTTGCTGAGCCCCTGGGATGGTGAATGGGCTAAATAGATTAATGAAATCACATGTATAACATAGCTTTCATTTACTCATGTTTGTGTTGCAAAAAAGTATGCAATCTTGAAGAAGCATCACCTTTGAAATTATAATGCTGATTTTGTTGGATTTGCTAGATTTGAAGATTCATCATCTGCTCTTTCTTGCCTAGAACAGTCAAATTGATTTGGAAGAGCCTGACACCTTCGGGTGGACAAGATGGTGATGGCCTCATCAGCACAGTACAACTAACTCTGTGAAGGGTGTTGCTTCATTATTCAGATCCAGCTCTTCCTATTTGATGTAGAAACAAGAGGTCTGCATCCCAGGGTTTCTCCAGGACTTGCTCCTAGACTGGCACTTTGTTCAGTCTATGATGCTGAGTGCTTCTACAGTCAGTTTTCTGTATCTCTTGTGTGATGTGAGGGTCATTTGGATTTTTACAGCCTAAATACAGTAACAGGGGTGGGATTCAAAAATCCCAGCAATTGGTTTGCTGCCCGGTTGCTGGGTAGGCATGGCCATGGTGGACGTGGTCTACCGGAACTTCTAGGAGGGCCATGTTTTGCCCTCCCGGAAGCCTCCGGAAGCCTCCCTCAGGCCTCTGGGAGGGGAAAAACGGCCCACCCCTCCCACCCCTGAAGTAACTGCAAAACATATTGTACCCTCACGGTTACCTTAACCCTAAAGGAGAATGAAATTTAATAGCATCTAAAGGTCATTAAATTTAGTTTTAGTCTACCCCTTGTCTTATCCTAGCCTCATTTGTAATTTGGAGTTTTCCTCTCAACACTTGATTCAAAACTCCCTTTGAAAAATAATGGCCCAAAAAAAGGTTGTGAAAACTCTTAGTTATCCTTACTTACTGTGCTATCTAAAACAAGTTGCTTTAGCTTGATACTGGTTTGAGTTACTTGGGAGAGGTTTAAACATTCCTCTTCCCAACTGTAATCCCTTCATTAAAACACACACACACACACACACCCCTCTGCTTACAAAGAAAATGATCTACTTTTTTGCACCAATGCGAGCCAATTGGACAATAAAAGTAACATTAATTTAGCTCTTACTGATCCTATTTCTTCTTTCAATTTGCACCCCACCTTTCTTCCAGAAGGCACTCAAGATAGCTAACAATAAAAAATGAAAACATAAACAATATGTGATATAAACAGTTAGCAATGCTATAATTAATTCTAACTAAAAAGACCTGGGGAACAGAATGGGGAAGCATCCTATTCCAATGGAATCGGGCACTGAATGGTTAAGGGAAAATGAGCTGATCTGATGTCAGCCCAATAAGGTAGACCAGACTAGAAACCAAAGCTGTATAGGCCAGGACTACTTATATTGTAAGAGCTACAATAACAGAATCTTGCAAGTCTGAATGTGTCATCATTCCCCCCCCCCCCCCCCCACACACACACTTTTTATGTCTGACTTCAGAAGGGATTTTCTGAGACACTTTTTCACATTATGTGCTTGGCCAAGGCTCAATCCTCCTTTATTTGTCCATAGTCATAGTAGTGGCTTTTTCTCTTCCTCCTCTTCCTTCAAGGCCATTCTCTGTGTCCTCTAAATGTGTCAACTGAGGTTGTGAGTGGAAACAATTAAAGTCTAGGAAAATGAAATGCTAAGTAACCAATCAGCAGCTTCTTTATATGTTCTAATAGAACACTATGACCACTAGTATTAAAAACACAGAATTCTTCATATGTCAGTAGGGTCAAAGTTCCTTCCAGCTCATCCATCAGGCTCACAGTGGTCATTTTCATACCAAATTTGGATCTAAAGATCAGGGCCTCTGGCACTGTAGTACCATCAAATGCTAAATGTGGAATGTTGGATTTGGGCCAATATTTATTACACTATTGCAGACTCAAATATGTTTTTTTTAGGCAAAGCTCTCACCATGATTCCTTTAGGAATTCAGAAAACTCTTCCTGACAAAAAAAAGTAAGTAATCTCAGAAATCACTAGAAGGATAAAATCTTTAGACCCCCTGATCTACAAGATGAAGATACCTTCTCATTCAGCAGAAAAACTAAACAATAGGAGAGATGGACATGAGGCCTATGTTAATTTCACATGATTTTTCATTTATGAAGAAGTATGCAAACTATATTAGCGGAACATCAGTTGAGGTGATTAAAGACACAGTCATGTGTCCAATAGCTCTGAAAAACTCAATTCAATGAATTTCTGTGGCCACAAAGGAGAAAAACATAACTTGCTTTCTTCCCCAACTACCAGATGTGTAATATCTATCTGATTCTCTATAATGGCTCCAAAGGATGACAAAATTCTCATGTATTTTTAGTTTTTGATCAGATTTCCTTTAGCACTTTTCACATACCTCCTGGTACTGCCATCCAACTGCATGGTCTGATCCATTTCACGTGGGAAACTTCTTTTCTTCCAGGAACCATCTTTTATCATGAGAACAATCTTTTGTTGTATCTCTGAAATTGTTGTTCTTCACATTGCTGCATGGAGCACCAGGATCAGGGCTGAGAAAGATTGCTGTCTAAATCTCTGGGAGACTCTTCCAATTAAGAGCAGAGCAGCTTTTGCAAATACTGTTCCCACTTCATGTGCTGAACTACAATTCCCATTCTGCACATACCTGGAGGTGATGGGAATTGTAATCTAACAAAGCTGCAGTGAACCCACATTCAGAAGGCTGTAATAGTTGATAACAATTATTTATCCTCAGCCTAATTCAGTACTAAGGCAATTTCCTAAATTTCTATGTCACCTTAAAGTAGAATTCATACCATCAGTTTTACAGTTAGGAATCTTGTTTGGAGCCTGGATGTAATTTCACACATCTCAAAAGTAAACTAGTGTTGTTCTTTGTAACTGCATTATCTCAAATGTTACATTAATAATTCTGGATTTAAGAACATTCTTTGTGAGCATTACATTGTAAACCTGTTAAAAATTCAATAGGAACAAAACAGGCCTGTCAGTTTTGGCTGAATGAGGATTTCACACTATTATAGGAATCAGTTCTGAACCCTTAAAAAGCATGGCTGCCTTTAAAATGAAGGCATTCCCATGACCCAATTTCTATTTCAGGGTTTTATGTCTATTTAAGGATCATAAATATGAGAGGTTAACATTATGAAAGATTGTACAATGTTTTTCCATCTAGATGTGGCATCTTATGTCCAAATCACAATTTAAAAAAAATACCACTGCAAAACTGGAAAGCCCTATTTGGTTTGTTTGAAAGTTTGGTGATATTTTATAAGGCCAGGCAGGAGGGGTGGGGGGAAGAGAAGCAGTGTACATTCCACCGAGATTCCCACATGAAGGAAAAGAGCTAGGTTAAAAATAAGAAAACTGAGAGAGGGTATAAAAGGGATGTTTCCTATCCCCATAGGTTAAAAACAAACCGAACAACAAGGGCTGCAGCTGACAATGAAACACTCTCAGGAAACTTAAGTCTCCGGTGACAAATAAGACTCTCAACCAAGACAGGATGCATTATGACCCAGCCACTGAGCCAAAGGGATATGGGAGGCAAACAAGCTGAGCTCTATTGTCTTGGCATATGCTTTACAGACATTTATAGAATTTGAGCTGAGATTGAAATCACTCAGTTCGTTGTTCCTTCATGCAGCAAAGATGGGGATTCCTCAGCAAGTATTTTGGCAGCTGCTGATTTTGGGACTGACAGTTCAGCCCAGTGAAGAGGTGGAAGCTTTGTGTTCTGGGACCACGTGCTACACACTGAATTTTGGTCGGTTTAGTTGGATGGATGCTCAGCAAAAGTGCAAGGACAATGGGGGTAACCTGATGACTCTGAAAAGCCAAGAGGAGGCTTTGCTTGTCCCACAGCTGCTCACCAAGATGCCCAAAGGGGAAGCCGGCACAGTTTCAGAGGTAAGATTGTGGATCGGGCTTCACCGAAAGAAAGGCAAGTGCTACGATAAACATCGGCCACTGAGGGGCTTCCGCTGGGTGACAGGAGGTGAGGACACCCAGTACTCTAAATGGGGACAGGAACCCCGGGAAACCTGCTTGTTAAATATGTGTGTGGCCCTTCAGGGAGCTCCCTTCTCATCTCAGGAACTGCCCTGGGTAGACAGCCTCTGTGGCAATGCAACTGCTGGGTTGTCAGGCTTCTTGTGCAAGTTCAGTTTCCAGGGAATGTGCCGTCCGCTCATACTGGCAGGGCCAGGCGTGGTCAGCTACAGCACCCCTTTTGGTGTAGCCACTGAGTTCCTTGTAACTGTACCCTTTGGCTCCACGGCTGATGTAGCATGTGAGCCCCAAGGAGAGGAGATACCTAACATCTTCCTTGTGTGCAAGCCACAGCCAAACAGCAATGTCTCTGAATGGAGCAGCCCAGGTCCGTTTTGTGCTTCGCCCATTTACGGTTGCAGCTACAGCAATGGGGGTTGTGAACATGAGTGCTTGAATCAAGGCAAGGGTTTGTTTCAATGTGCATGCCGCTCAGGATACCAACTTGGAGGGGATCATCTTTCCTGTGTCCCCGTGGACTACTGCAGCTCCAATCCATGTCAAGGACAGTGTAAACCATACCCTGGGGGCTTCCAATGCCTCTGTGCTTCTGGTTATATTCTGGCTGATGATGAGCGGAGCTGCATAGATGTGAATGAGTGTGGTGCGCTTCAAAGTCCTTGTGAACAAATATGTGTGAATACCAAGGGGTCCTTCACATGTCATTGCAACCTTGGCTATATGCCTGCTGAGTCTGACCACCAGGCATGCCAGGACATTGATGAGTGTGCGAGGAACACACCATGTGACCAGATTTGTGTAAATACTCATGGCTCCTTCCACTGCTCTTGCCAGCCAGGATACCAGCTGGAAGGTATTAATAGCTCTTCTTGTCTAGATATTGATGAGTGTCAGGAAGAACTTTGTGAACATATGTGCATCAATCAAGTTGGCAGCTACCGGTGCTCTTGTAGGGATGGCTGGATTTTGGCACCCAATGGGATCTCTTGCCTCTTGGATCCCACAAGCAGCACCTCTTCAACATTCATTCAAGGAGGAGAATGGATTCCAACAGATATTCATCCTGCTTCAGAGTTACCAGCCCTGCTGACTGATCCTCCACTTCAAGCTGAGCTAGAAGGATCCCAGGATTACACCCTTCAGCCAGCTGTGGTCAGCAGTGCACTTGAGGACAAACCCCATATCAGAGATGAGAGGATAGATAAGAACAGTCATGGCTCCAAGCAATTTTTATATCTTATCTTGGGCGGTGTGGGTGTTTTATTCCTGGTGTCTTTTGCCCTAGCTTGGGTCATCTACAGAAAAATAAAAGCCAAGGAGGTCAAGAAAAATTCTAAGAATGTCACGGATAATTACTCTTGGGTAAAAGACCAAGGAGAGAGCAGGGCAGCAGGAAGCAAGGAGGGTTTGTAGTCAGTGGTGTGATTTTGGTGTGAGAAGGAAGGGAAGGTATACATTGCAATTGAAATTTTTAAAAACTATACATTTTTCATGTAATATTTTGCAAGAGGACTGCTACAGTTGCATCATTAAAACCGCAAGGGTGAAACTAGAAATAAAACCTTTAAGAGTAAATTTATCAAGATTTGTATCTCTGACAACAATGACAGATTTGACGTTGCAATCCACTTTATGTACATGCTGGTCGGTCAGTTGATTGTTAGATCAGCATTCCCTTCTTGCCTAGGGAAGCAAGTGGTACATTTTTCTAAGCAGCAAATCTTTATTTATGCCCACCTAGTTTTTATTTTACTACTGCAATGCCAACTTCGTATCAATCCTTTCTTTAAAAAAAAAACGATCAGAAGGAAGGAAGCATATTTCTTAAACTAATTCCAATAGAACCACTGTGATAACAGCCCAGTCGAATCATCTTTCAAATTATTTTTGTTAGTTGTGAAGTCTTATATCCATTTTCTCCCTTGGGTTTAAACTAATTGTGGTCCATAGAAATTGATTTGAAGGGAATCAGAGGAATTGAATTCACAGAACTGAAATTTAACTTGTCTTGAATTGGCTGTACTCGGTTCAGTAAAAAGGTACTGCATGCCTGCTTAGACTTCAGATTCTGCTGTTTTGCTGATCCCTGGAAGCTTTGCTAAATGTTATCACATTGTTTAGGGATGACTCAATCTCACTGAAACAGAAACAGCTGCAGTGACCAACTATGCCTCATCTATGCTTTCCCTATCAGCTCATGGGGAGAAGGAGAAAAATATAGATGCCATTTATGATCCAACATATTTCTCGACTGGGTGCTTGAGGAAAACAGTTACTGGGGAATACAGCAGAAATTTGAAACCATTTCGAAGTTAACTGTATTAAAGCTGAACGTTGTTCAATAAAATGTGCTTTATACCTCATTCTGGCAACATTTTATAAAGATGGTAATAGCAAATGTTACCGACTGTCGCATCTTGTACAGCTAGTTCTGAAATTTCTCTTTCAGGGTTAGCTCTTTAAAAATAACTTGGTTAGTCTATGTGACCAACCCTGGGGATACTGCAACTACTCCAAAATGTAAGCAGATTTCATTTTTTATATTCAATTTGATTTCAGTATGCAGAGTGTATAGACTGAAAATGCAGTGATATGGTAGGGATAAAGGTTTGCTCCCTCCATTTAAAGAGGCTCCATTTTCAGCTTACTGCTCCTTTTTTTTTCTTGGGACTTATGATCTCTAAAATAATAAAAGCAGGCTGGCTGATTTGAGGCCAGTCAGTCTCTCTCCGCCCACAACATCAGGCTCAGATAACAAGCTAGAAATGTGAAATATATATTCTTCCTGGCATTTTCCCATAAGTGCAGTGTCCATAGAAAGGTTGATTTAGTAGTTTATCTAAATCACATTTTCTGCAGGGTTTTAAAGGCTGTATTTAAGGTGTTAGTGATTTTGAATTCCATAAATCAGCCTTAGAACATATATTCACAAATATTTGATGAGATGAGGAAAATAAATTGTGAATATCTCCATAATTCCCTCCCCCAGCAAAAAGTATTTACAGAAGCATTTGATATTAGAACAATTTTTAGGCATGGCAATTTTAATACCTGATTTGCAGCTACAGGCCCAGATTTCCCTCAGTTTCTTCTTTTGAAATATTTCTATAACTAATTGAATGTCTGGGATACACGTTAATTTAAGCAAACATTCTGTATTTTTTGCTATTAAATCTACATCACTGTCCACTTTGATAACATTATTCAAGAATGGGTTTGAAACAAAAGTAACTCTCTCTATTAGAAATCCCACTGGTTTCTATTAATAATTCCATTAGGACTAAATAAAATGGCTATAATAAAATACCACAAACTAACTTAACATAATGAGTTTGCCATAGCCTACCAGATACATCCTGTTCTTAGCATGCAGAGGAAAACTTTGTTCCTATTGTTAGCATCACTGCTGAATCTAGTGTTAATTCAAGAAAGCCATAGCAAAATTCAGAAGTCTGACTGCCTGGATATTTTAAATGGATTGTTTATCTTATCTTATTTTTGTACAGTTGCTGGAAAGAGAGGAAGATGAAAGAGTGTTACTTTAAGTGCATGATACAACTAACAACAACTTAAATCCAGATGCCTCAATATATGCAATTATGATACAAATAAAGGATGCTCAGTTGGGAAGCAGGATAGGTAACCTATATTTTTTTGGCACAAACTGATTTATAATATTTTCATAATAAAAGAATAAAATCCACCACTCATTGGCCAATGGTGAAATATTGTTTTTCCACTGTGGAAAAACTGAGTATATAGGTCTCCTCTAGATTGAACAAGATATAACACAACATATTAATATCCTATGTAGAAATTTAGAGACACTGAGACCTGAGTCATGTAGTCATTTCCTTTTAAAAAGACTGATTATATGTATGCAGTCTTGGAAAGCATATGAACTGTAATACTGGAGTCAATATTCTATTATAAAACATGTAACGTAGATGTCCCTCCAGATTAATTTCCATTAAAAAAAAAGGTTAGCAAGCTGCACCTATTTAGATATTGCTGGACTTCAACTCCCATAAGCCCCTAGCTATCATGGCTTCAATGGTCAGAGTTGGCATGATTTCGAGGCCAACAAAATGTGGAACACCACCAACTGTCCACCCTGCTATAGACCTATAGGAAACAGGAGAACACCAGGAAAGGCTCGGCAGATAGCAGCAACTAGCCAACTTATGCTGACCTCAAAACCTAAGCAAGGTCAACCCTGGTAATGTCTTGGATGAATGGGAGCTGGGTGTGAAGAGACTCATCACTGCAGTGGTAAAACAAATGTTGAAGAAATTAAAACAGCTGCATACCCAGCAGAAAGCAATGGCAACCCACTTAGGGCATGAATGCAGTCATCAGGACAAAAAAAAAAAAAAGAGTGCTACATTTGCCATCCCTATCTTGCCTTATATATTGCTTGTGTCTATCCGTTTGTCTGTCTACCTGTCTGCTTAGTTTTATCTGGTGTGGGAAATTCCATAGAAAATGAAACCTCAAAATGGTGTGATCAAATGTTTTTTTTCCCTTTCTTTTCTTCTCCTTTTTATTTGTGGCTACTATAACATGATTTCAGAATAAAAAACAATAAAAATTTCCCTTGCTTTGAAGACTCTGTAACTCTTGTGCTTATTTCTCTTACCCACCCAGCTTTGAGCTAGAGCCAAAGATTCCTGGGAAGAGCTAAATTCAGAAGGGTCCACACCCTTCTCTTTAATAAATGGGCATATTCAGGTGCATGAAAACTAAAGAGAGAGAAAACCTCAAAGGTTCTCTAATTGTTTGTTTGCTTTCTTTCTTTTTTTTTAAAAAAATCTCAGTTTTATTACTTCAGAAGCACAGGTAGTCCTCGACTTACACACCATCTGCTTAGCGACAGGGGTGGGATTCAGCCGGTGTTACTACCAGTTTGATGACTACAATTCACTTAACAGCCATGGCAAGAAACATCATAAAATGGGGCAAAACTAACTTAACAACTGTCTCACTTAGTCTCAATAGAAATGTTGAGCTCAATTGTGGTTGTAAATCAAGGGCTACCTATAACTCAAAGTAAGAATATTACACTTCTTCCTCCTCCTATTCCCCCCCCACAAACATACAACAAATGGATAAAAACACAAATAAAATGATGGTTGAGCCCACAGTAATCCAGATTACTGGTCACTTCTTTCTTCCAATGAGACTAATATCTTATCTGCCAATATTAATTGGTCTAAAGAGTCTCCCCTCACCAACAATTTACTTACGCTAATACTTCAACCTGCAGTGTTATAAGTGGAAATGCATCAGACTCCAGGTGGAGACATCCCTTGGCAACAGAAGAGATCTTATAAAGTTAAACTGCACTGCTTCTAATGCATATGTATCTAGAAAGCCCAACACTGTGCACTAAACTTAGCACTTTGGGTTTTAAAAGTTTACCTGCTGCAGGAAGACAGCTGTTGCCCTCACAGGCTATATATCTAATTATTGCATTCCAAGCAGGATGAGGCTTGAAGGACAGTTTCCAGGAAAAGATTGTCAGTTTTCCAAATGTGGGGGTTGGTTAGTGTATCACCTTGGTTTTCATGTGCTTGATTTTCAGCATTTTGGATAGATAATGCAATGCAATTGTTGCAGAGCCACTTGAGATACAGACAGAATAGCAACACTGTCAGAGCATATAGAAAAATGGAAATTGGTTTACTAAACAAAGAGGAGATGAAATTCAGTTCTAATAAGAGCCTGAACAATATCATCCCCTGAAAAAAACACTTGTTTTTAAAGAAAAATATTCATATAAATCAGAGATATGAAGATTCAGAGTCTTAAGTCAGCATTATTGGCTCTCTGTCAGCATAACTGGATTTCTTACTATGCTATCTCTGCCTCAAGGGCCCAAGAGATTTTCTGCAAGACCTCCCAAGGCCATACCAGCGTGCCTAAACTTAGAACAAGCCTTCCTAAAGTTTTTCCTTCCTAGCTAACCTATAGTAAACTCCTACCACAATGCTATCACATATTTTTTTTCCACTCCTGTTAATCTTATCCAGATGCTTTCAACATACTTCAACATTCAGGGACATGAATTTCTTCACAGACATACAGCTTCTTTACTATTATAAAATGATTCTGCCTCTTTTTGCTAAGATTGTTTCTTTAAACCAAGTCATATCAGCACACTTGCGTTGCTCCCTTTACCCTCCTTTACCTTCTTCAGGCTGTCACTGGCCAGATCAAGGTGAGCAGCCCTTTAGTGATGACAGACTACACTTAAAATATATTGTAGGACAGGGATGTCAAACTCAAGTCATCATGGCAGTGTCACGTGATGTATTGGAACTTTCCCCCCGTTCATTAAACTGGGCAGGAGCATGGCCACCATGTGATGCATCTGGCTCACGGGCCTCGACTTTGACAGCCCTGTTGTAGA